TGAATTTAATATAATGATCATTCAACAGTGTTCGTAATTGTATTAATCTACTGTCACCAACCGTGATCAAAGATTTACATATTAAATTTTCATTTTAAAAGTTAATTAATCTTCAACAGTGATCAAAATAATTGACTTTTCCCTTTATCCTTTTAATCTTTTGCAACGGTACTCATAACAATACATTACCAACCATGATCCAAAGGGTTATACTTTTATCTTTACTTAATAATATTAGTTCTTAAAGTCATAGAATAATAGAATCTATCATATCAATAATAATTATCTGATAATTATTAATTTGAGATATTTTTAGTTTTTTTTCTAAATAAAACGAAATAAGTTGATTATTTAAGGAAAATGATGTTATACTTTCATATGATTAGTAATTTTAAGTTCAGTAATATTAACTTAAATAGAATTTTGAAAAATCTTTTTACAATAAAGAAGATATCAAAAACCTAAAACCCAAAGAGATACTTAATTTTGCTAGAGATAAAAGACTCTTTAAATATATATAAGTGTGGCTTAGTAGGACATCCTATATATTTTCTTAAGTATCACAACAATACTTTGGTTGAAATACTTATGTGAACAAAACCAAATTAATATAATTCAGTAGATGTGCGCAATGAATCTATAGATTTGAATGATAATCATTAAATTGTAAAATTTTAAAAATGAATAATTTTACTAAAAAAGTCTCATTACTTTATTGTCAAACTTCATAAAATGATAGATACGGTGAGCTTTTAAAAGCCTATTGTGTTTGTTTTTTCATTTTGAACAAAAAGTTTATTGTGCAAAAAATTAAAAACTCATATTGAAAAAGTTTTAGAAAATATTTGTATACTATATGTATAATTCGATTATACCAGTTACTTAACATGTGTCTACAGAGGTAGTGAACCTACTTTTGTTATCAGGAATAGGCAGGAAGTCATTGATCTAACAGTTTGTTCCAAAGGGTTACTTCAAAAGATAAAAGGGTGGAAAGTGTCCTCCGAACCTTCTCTTTCTGATCATAGGCACTTACGATTCACTTTGGAAATTAACAAAGTTGAGACGGAGTACTATAGGAACCCGAAAAGAACAAACTGGGACAAATACAGGGCAGATCTCTCTCGTGACCTGATTAACCTACAGTTTAGATTGGGGTCGAGACAGAGTACTGAAAGGGCTGTAAATATGCTACAGGACTCCATTGTCTCAGCTTACAAAGAAAACTGTCCTTTAATAGAAAGGAAAGGTACAGGGCAGGGTGTAGCTTGGTGGAATGCTAACCTGTCTAAATTAAGAAAGAGTTCACGTAAGCTCTTAAATAAAGCAATGAAATCAGGTTTGGAACAACACTGGGAATCCTATAAGGACGCCCAAAGGAACTACAAATCTGCATTGAAAAAGTCCAAAAGAGAAAGCTGGAAGAAGTTCTGTGGGGATATACAACAACTCCCTATAGCAACTAGACTTCTGCGATCACTAAGGAATGGACCAAACAAAACTGTCGAGGCAATACTACTGCCAGACGGAATGTTCACCAATAATGATAATGAAACATTATCACATTTGATGAACACACATTTTCCTGACTCTACAATTAACAACAGAGAACAGGAACATGATGCACAGGACAAACGTGTGACCTGTGCTGATTGGAGACTAACCAGGAAAGTGATAACCCCAAGTGGAATAAGATGGGCAATAAAAGCCTTTGGCAGTTTTAAAGCTGCAGGCTGTGACGAAATTTTCCCTGCACTTCTGCAAGAAGGGTTAGAGATAATCGTCCCCCATCTCTGCAAAATATTTAGGGCATGCCTTGCCTATGGTTATCAACCAGAAAGCTGGCGTAAGGTTAGGGTAGTGTTTATACCCAAACCTAACCGCACTAACTATTATGAAGCAAAATCCTACAGACCAATAAGTCTTACTTCTTTTCTTCTTAAGACTATGGAGAAACTTATTGATAGGTACATCAAGGAGGGGCCTCTTAAGGAGAACCCTTTACATGAAAACCAACATGCGTATCAAACGGGGAAATCTACTGATACAGCTCTACACTGCTTAACTACTAAGATAGGGAAAGCTGTAGAGAATAAAATGTATGCAGTAGGTATATTCCTGGACATCGAAGGGGCTTTTGACAATACTCCCTTCGATGCTATGTGTGAATCTGCACAACAGCATGGAATAGAACCACTTATTATTAAGTGGATAGAATCCATGCTTAAGGAACGCTCCATTTTGGGACAGCTCAATGAGACCAAAGTAATCAAGAGTGTTAAACAGGGATGCCCACAAGGCAGGGTTCTATCCCCCTTGCTATAGTGTCTAGTATTGGACTCTCTTATTAGAGAGTTAAACAAATATTGTTATACACAAGCCTATGCGGATGACTTGGTTATAGCAGTGGTGGGTAAATTCCCAGACACTATTATTGACTTAGCACAACAGAGACTTAACACTATACAGATATGGTGTAGTAAGTACGGTCTATCTGTTAATCCAAATAAAGCAGAGGTTGTTATGTTCACTAGAAAGAGAATAGGACTAGACAGCCTGGACACTCTTACTCTGAATGGACAAGAAATTAGCTTAAAATCAGAAGTAAAATACTTAGGTATTATCTTGGATAGTAAGCTAAAATGGAAATCACATGTTGAGTCAAGAATCAAAAAAGCAATGACCACATTGTGGACTTGCAGCAGAGCCTTGGGAAAGACATGGGGTCTTAAACCAAGAGTTATGTATTGGTTGTACACGTCAGTGATTAAACCTATGATATTGTACGGTGCCCTGGTCTGGTGGACCAGAACAGCACTCATTACAGCTAGGAAAGAACTTAGTCGCATACAGAGAATGGCTGCTATTGCCATCACTGGAGCATAAGGAACTACACCAACGGTCGCATTAGAGGCACTAATTGGATTGCCTCCTCTGCATCTAGAGGTGAAAGCTCACGCCAAAGCTACAGCACTAAGATTCCACAACTTAGGTATGTGGACTTTGGAGAGTGATACAACAGAACATGGTAAAATACTAAAAGAGATAGACAAGGGCTTTTTAGAATACCCCTTGGACTATATCAAACCGGTTCTTAAGAATAACATTCCCTACAAAGTGGAGATCACTACACGTATAGAATGGAATATTAACCACCTGACTGACAAAGGAGGATTTGTGATATATACAGATGGATCCAAAAAATCAGGAAAGGTAGGTGCTGGAATTTGGGGCTTAAAGCCACGAATAAATGTCAGTATGTCATTGGGCACAACACCCTCTGTTTTCCAAGCAGAGGTGATGGCGATACTGGTAGGGGCTCAGAACCTGCTGGTATACAAAAATAGGAAGATAACTATCTTAAGTGATAGTCAAGCGGCTTTGAAAGCACTCTGTAACGATCAGGTGAATTCAAAGCTGGTCCTCGAATGCAGGGAAACTTTAGAATCACTATCGAGGTTCAACAAAGTTACACTAGCGTGGGTACCAGGACACAACGGTGTCACTGGAAATGAGAATGCTGACTTTCTAGCCAGGAAAGGAGCAGAGAACACCTATGTTGGACCAGAACCAGTGGTAGGGCTCACTGAGCAATCGCTCAAAGCGTTACCCAAGAATTGGTGCAGAGAACAACACAGGAAAATCTGGAAGTACTTGGTAGTACCTAGACAATCTAAAATGTTTATCAAGACCCCTGGTTTATTGCTGGGTGATCTTAATAGCATGACTAGACATCAAATAAGCACCCTGACTGGTCTACTGACAGGACATGGTCACCTGCTTAAGCATCTTAACGCAATGGGGGTATCGGAATCACCATTGTGCAGGAAGTGTGGAGTAGAAGAGGAAGACTCATTTCACATCATGTGCGAATGTGAAGCCTTGTCCACACTAAGATCAAACTACTTGAATAAACCATTTCCTGAAAAAGAGGATATTAAAAACCTAAAACCCAGAGAGATATTTAATTTCGCCAGAAAGACAGGACTCTTTGGTCATCTTTAGAGGTGACTTTATGGTTGGTAATGTATTAACACTTTGGTGATAACACTTAGGTGGGTAAACCGAATCAAGACAATTCGGTATGAGGTGCGCACAATGGACCAACAGGTCTGAGTGCATGGGCATTATGTCCACCTCAATAATAACTAAAACTAAAACTAAACTAACATGTGTCTACTACGAACTCCTTCATTTCATAAATGTACTGAGCCTATACTCTATATACTCTTTTAAGAGTATATAGAGAAGTGAAAAAATGTGAATTTAAAATATAAATATATTTTTTACAGTAGTTAATTTTATTATTTAATACAACAAAAAATACAAAATTATTATATAATGTTTGAACTAAATTTGACAAAAATTATAAAAAAGACCAAGTTTGTTGGACTCCTTTTCAGTGGTTCACGACCACTGTAAATCAAAAAACACGTGCCACGTAATTTTTTTTGTATACAATGAACTAGTATTCTTTCTTTGAAATCCACAAATAAATTATAAGACACCATCATTTTGTTTATTTTCAAAAAAAAAATCAATCAACTATTAAACTAATGATTTTTTTGTTTGATTCACTTTATATTGACTATTAAAATTTTATGATGCTCACTGTAAAGTACGACTTGTGAGAAGGGGTCTAAAAAATATAGCTATAATTGGCTACAATAATTTTTCTTTTTCAAGTAAAATTAAAACATAATAATATAACTTTATATTATATATTGTTGTATAAAACAAAATTACACTACTCTCAATAAAAAAAAAAAATGATTTAAAATACTTATTTTTTCATTTTTTTGACTATTACTTACACTGATAAATATATCCAAATAAAAAATATTGAAAGTATACATACTGATCCTGTCTGAGAGTCTATCATCTTTGTAGAATAACAATATTTATATTATTATGGCTATATATAACTATATTTAAAATATAGTTATAAGTGGTTATAGCTAAAATAAAGTATTCTAGGTTTATTACATAAAACTACTTACTAAACAGTCTCTCTCATATTCAATTTTTGATTTTTCTAATTGAATTTCATCTAACAATCGAGCTGATGTTTTTAATTTATATGAGAACTTGTCACATTCTTCCTGAAGTGACTTTAACTGTTCTTTCATAATATTTCTATCAACATCCTCATCACCAATTTTACTCATCAGTTCTTCAATAAGTTTCAACTTTATCAAGTAATCTAAAGGTAAAAAATATTAATTGAGATGTTAATGAAATTTATTTAATAAAAATATATTATAAATAAAAAAACAGAAATTTATTAAAAGGATATTTGAAAAAAAATATTTTAGAAATATAAAAAAAAAAGTACAATAGGGATCCAACAAAATTTAGTTGAAGCAGTTTTTAAATTAGTATTGATTAATATCAGCAATTAAATTCACGGTCATAAAACACTTTAATGCGTATTTTAACAAATTTAAAAAAATATATATTTACCGAAAATTACATAATTTTTATTTAGAAGTCCAATTATTCATAGAGGTAATGTCACCAGAACCTTTTTATTTTTTTAAATCACATTTCAAGAAGATATTTCAATATAAAATGAAATCTAAAAATATCAAAATATACAGTTATATAACAACTGTAATTTTTTTAAGTATTTCCCTTTATTACTGGGATTAAGAGTAATTTTTCAAAATTATGATACTGATAGCTTCAACTGGATACATTTTGTTACAGTTTTAAAGCTGTAGTAGCTAAAAGTATACCTAAACATATTAAATGATATTCTCAAATTCTTTTCACTGAATCCTAATAAAAATAAACATAAGAAATCGATTTCCCAATTATTTATCCTAAATATATTCCTAACGATAAAGAATTTTAAAAGCACTTACCGTTTTCAATTGATGTACTGAGAAGTGACTTGACATTATTGAAAAATAAATCATACTGCAATGCAGTATGCAGAAGAGAATTCTTGGAATTATCCATTGCAATCGTGTTCAATTGACGAGCCAACAAATAAAAACTATAAAGAAATTAAAATTAAACTGAAATATAACTGAACGTAAGACTCAGTGTTGCATGAACTGAAGACTAATAATTCAGTTTGACCAACCATTATATCAATAAGCCATCAATTATAGATGTGTTACCAACAACATTTTTATTACAAATCAATAGTACCTTATTTTAAAAAAATACCTTCAGAATAATTTAGTAGATAAATTTACTAATTATAATCTGCAATTTATTTTAGTAGCATTCACTTATGTTATAGCTATTTTGAAGTAGCAGTTATTTTTTGAATAAATGATAAAACTTTTAAGTTTTATAACTAAAGTTATAAAAGAAGTTTTATGAAACTACTATACTAGTTAATACATTAACTAATATAGTAGTTTAATGTGTTACTGAGGAGCTAATAGTTTTAATGTGCGGTGTTATTTTTATATTTTGTGTCGTAAAATCATCAAATATTTTCCTTTCAATATTTGATAATTAAGGTCTGGATTTTTATGCAAGAAATATTAGATTAGATGTATATAAAAATAAAACTATGCGATAAAAACAAAATTTACTATGGCTTAAAAAATAAACAAAATATGATTCTACAACGTAAAAGTAACAATTCACTTTTGCTTAGATATTGAGTAAACTATTACCTATAGTTTAGTTATAATAATGCATAAAAACAAAACCCTAGTCCAACCATATTATGGTGCTGCCGAAAAGAGTTTTTCTATAAAAATATGATGTATATAGGATTTTCTATACTATGGAGCTTAATGCTAAATATATGCATTTTGCTTAATACACGTAAAACAGTACTTATGACAAAATACCTAAGATGAGATTATGGTGAGAAAAAACTTTAGTATAAAAGGCAGAATTCATTGTTAATCCTTTTTATCCGCTTAGTCTCATTGTGGTCTCTATTTCTTCAATATAGTTATGGAAAAAACTGTATTATTTCGAATAACTATTTTTAAAACATTTATACGTAAACATTATGTATCTATTATTCTATTCTGTGTATCTACAGCGAAAAAAAATGTCGCTGACATCACTAACCGTGTACAGTAGCTGCACGTAGTTTGACAGAGCCAGGTGCTTTTTAATTATTGATGGTTGGTGCTTAAAATATTCAGTTTAACGTTCATATATTTAATTTATATAGAATAATAATGTATGATTTTACTGGTGCTGCACAAGGTAAGTTTTTCAATTTTGTTAATATTCTCATATAAAGTTTTCTTAAAATAATTAATATTTTATTTAACTTTTTTTTTTATACATTTTAAAAGTATTAAACAGACTAACATCAATATTTAATGCGTTTGATAAGTTAATGCTAATATTAACAGGTTTCTTTTTTAAATTACGTATTACACTTAGATATTGTACTATAATATTTATTCATTTTTCTAGTATAATATTATGTCAAAATTAAATTTTTTGTGCGTCAAGCAAAATTTTTGTGACAATACATGTCGTACGTAATACTTATATTTTTTTTATTCTGAGAAATTTTGACCGCGTCGGTCGTTTAAACGTAGTGTCAATAACAGTGCAGTAAAACAAAAAAGTCGCGTATGCAATTGACGGCCACTGTCGATTATATCGAGATGTTGTTTTAGAGCGTTTGGTTTTACTGGAGAAGCGTGGAAATTTTCACGAGTTATCGCAATTTTATGCGTACCAGTGAAACTTGGTAAAATCTCAGCTGTTCGTTGATTAAATATAATTTAAAATCGGAGACCACTTACCATATTCCTCAATCAGAAATACCATCCATAAACCAGGCCTTCAAGACCGTATTTGATATCATGCTCGTTGAGAACGCGTGCTCAGATTATATAGATACAACAGCGTTTTTACGCTGTTATATAGATGGTCTCATGTTCAGCGTATGCATGCATATGCCCCTTCCCGACTCATCGTCTTTACCGATTCCCCTAGCAATTTATCCTAAAAAAGCGATCATTAATTCACAAAACAAAAGAGGACAAGTATTGTTTTAAAGTGTGCCATTTTGGCTATACATGGTAAGCCAAGAAACAAACCTCACGTCAATCAAAACACTATTTTAATGATGAACACAGGTATGATTTGATGGCATTAAAGTTCCCTACACCTGTGACTCATATTCAAATATTCAAGCGACGCAACATTGAAGTGTCTATTAATGTATACGGCATGGAACATAATGATATCGAGTCAATTTAGTTTAATATCAAAGTTAAATTCTGCATACCTATAAGTGTGCAAAATCTAGTAAATGCGAAGAATATGCAATTTGTTTAATGAATTTTAAGTATTTAGGATCAGTTGTGCTAAAGATATTGACGAGGATGTAAGACACAGATAAAAATAATGTCAACCATTCTTATCTTCTACGAATAACCATTGTAATTTCTGTGCATTTAATAATAAATATAGTACTTTTAAAAATACACATAGATTGTGTCTATACTTTATTATTTTTAAATTCTTAAATTTAACTAAACCAATAAATAATTGATCCAACGTAAAATTATAGTCTTTTTAAGAAATATTATTACAACTAGTGGTGGGAATTTTCGTTCCTTTAGTGTAAAGGATTTTAAATATTACAAAAACACAACTAACTTAAAAAATAAGTACTTAAAAATTATATTATTTATAACCTTACAATAGGGTTTTCAGAAACTCTCATATAATAATAAAATAATTCCATATTAAGGAATTATTTATTTTTATCTTTTTAAATTTATTCTAGAGCATCTTAATTGGGAGGATATTTTATATTTCAATAAATTGTATTTTAAAGTTTAAATGTAAAGTCAACGTTTGAGCTGGGTTTGATGGTATATATATATATTGTATATAAATTTGTAAAATATTATTAATATTTTATTTTAAATGCATAAATAGGTGTATTTTAAAGTAGTAAATTAGGTACTTAATTAAAATTAAAAAAAATAATAATTGAATGATTAAAAAAAAAAAATAAACACATCTTATGCATATTTCTTTACTTATACCTATTTGAAAAATTTGGTTTTAAGTTATAAATTTATTAATGTAATCGAAACGTACTCAAAATCATTGAACATAATCGATTATTTTATCCAACGAATAAACGATATTAATTTCGAGTAAAATTTCAAGAGATTTTCTCCATAGACAAGTATACTCAATCGATTCTCTCAATTACTAATAATTCGATTATGCCCATCACTAATTTAAAATATGTGAATGGATACCATTAGCAGTTTTAAAATTGGTGGTCTAGTAACTTTTTTTTTAAGATAATTAAAAAATCAAGAGATAGCGCTAGTTTTCCAACACTGTAAGAAGTGGGCGGCCTAGTCAACAGTTTGCCAAATAGACAGTTACTGTAGATCGTAGTTACCAATCCCGAACAAGTAAGAACTATTCAAGTACTCTTTGTTCATTACTATAATCATTTGGAGATCAAGAATATTTTTTATCGACGGAGTGATAGTGTAATACCAAATGTAATCGGTCCTATTCGTTCCACCAATATTCTCGTTACTTTGGACCGATTATACGAGTACCACCGACCGAAAATGGTTGTCATTAATTACAACCATTTTTATATACAAAATTTTATGAATATACAACCAACCATTTAGTAAATATATTGCAATAACCGTAAACGACTAAAATAAATTTTGGAATTTTATTATTTTTTTCACAGTATAATTGATATATGAGATATTTTATAAATATCTTTTTTAAAGGCAATAATAATCTCTAT